TTATTATTTTTTTGTTGTTGTTTTTCTTTCATCTGCCTTTTAGTTAAAGACGATCTGTTGCATGAAGCTGTTTTTTAATAACAGTATAGAACAAACCTGATGATAGGTTGACTTTATTCAATGTTGCACAGTAGGGCATTAAGCCATACAAACCAATTATTTTGCTTCAATTGTATGCATTTAAATGTTACTGCACTTGCTATTTGTGTCAAAATGTCCTTTTATTTTTCCCCATTTATTAACTTTAAGGTATGACTATCCACACACTCTCATATGCGTGTGTGCAGGCAATGTGTGTCCATATGCAACAGCATCCTTTATTAATGTTTGGAAATCAAAAATTCCAATTCACTGAATTCAATCATGATAAATATTTGTTCTTTATTCTACACTCTGGTAATTTTGTATTTAAAAACAAAAACCCCAGGTTAGAAAACAAAAAAAGGGTAGCATCAAAAATTAGAGAAGAAACATTTATATTTGTGAATAATTGCTTTAAAAAAAAAAGTTCCTAATGAAAATATGTCAAAATTACAATGTAAACAAATATTCCTGATTTGCTTACAATATTGTTTACTACGTCATCCTGATGGCAAGTCATTGCAAATTTAATAACTCACTCAGCTGTCAGGTTGTCACACTAAAACTTCAAAGGATGACAATTTCTGATATTGCAAAATAAATTTGTAATTTATAAGGCCTTATAATGATACATGCTCCTTTAAGTCACCTAAAACACCAGAGTAGTCACTTGAAATGTTTTTTCGGCAGAAATGGGCTATTCAGACATTCTACAGGGTGGACTCTATTGGCACAGCAGCAGGCAGAATATGGTATAGAAGTATTTCTGCAGAGAGTGTTGTCATTATATGAAGCAGGGCCTGGTAGGGTGAGCAAGGAGATCCAAAAAGCTAGACTAGACTTTATGTAAATGAGCACCTTGTATGGACCTGGGAACATTGGGAAGAGAGTTCTTATTTGCCTCTGACAGTGGCCAGGATGTCAGTCTAAACATGAGATTGTTTTCCAAATGTATGAAAAAAATATAAGTTGAATTTTAAATTTAGAAGTTGAAACCTCAAGGTGCTGATCTCAATCCAATTGAAAATCTTTAAGATCCTTGGCAATAAATGATAAAGAAATTAAACAATGACTGATGTGTACGGTAGAATTTACAAGAGGAATGGAATAAAATCACACTTGAACAATGTGACAAATTAATGAAGTTCTGCACTTGTAGAAGTAATGTTAAAAGCCATGATTTGTACAAGTTTTAATCTTCACAGATGAAAGAGAGAAAAAAACTAAGCAAAGATTTAGTTCTACTGATGAATGCTGAGGATACTATGGACAAAATGTATGAACAAGAATTTTTTAATAAGAACTATAAAGGAACTGATGCTAGAAATTTTGGGGAAAACATTGAGGAAAGTGGGTATGCAAATTTAAAGACAGTGAATGACCTTAGATTGAGTGAATAGGTAGCATAACAAGGACAAAAGGTGATAGTAAAGTTAGAGCAACATTAGACAAGAAGTTGTGGAGAGCCATGATTATCTTGACAGGACGCACAAAAAATCAATGTTAATTTATGTATATTTACAATTTTGGATGCTATACATTCTTGTAATAAAGCTTTTGTCTTTTCTGATGTTTTTTGTTTGGTAACTTTGTATTAAAAACAAAGTGTAGAAAAGGTTTTTAATATTTACTGCAATATTTATCAGGATCAAATTTGGAAATTTTTAACTTTTATTCTCTAATAAATTCTCTTAATTTTTCTTTGCTAATATTGGATGCTTTTGTATATATTTTTCTGTGTAATATTTTTAACAGGGTATAGAATCCATATGTTAAAAAAAAAAAGGTTTATGGGTACTATGCTAGTTAGTATATAACTTAAGTTGCTATATATAAATGATTTCAAATGTTTAAAGAATTAACACTTTCAGCATAAGTTACCTAGATGGAAGCAAATCAGTGTTATTGACACTGAAAAAACAGACTATAAATAATGTAAGTATAAACAAATGGACAATTTTCAAGAGCAAATCATTCTACAAAATAAGCAAATATTTAACTGTCTCTTTTTAAACATATTCTTTTGAAAAGGCTTCTCTTTACCCCAACATAAAGTTGAAATAAATCTCAACTTTGTTGGGGTAAATATTGATTAAACTCCCTCCTCTTCTGACATTGTGGGAGTATTAAGTTTGATATTTTTATTTAGGTACCTCCACAAGATCACTAAAAAAAAAAGAGCATAGCATGAGGAAAAAGACTCCAAACTTGACAAAAACAAACTTTTATCTAAATGTTCATTCATGTTATTATTAAGAGGAAAGATCAAAGTATTTTGGGGGTATTTTTTTACATTTTTTTAATCGTTCCGAGCACATCCGAAATTTTTGTTAAAATTTTTTTTTTTTTTTTTTTTTTTTTTTTTTTGAGTCAGCAAAATTGATCTTTTTCTCTTTTTTTTCTTTTTTTATAAAAAAAACTGGAAATCTCACTTTGAAATTCTTTTAAATATCATCACTTTTTCAAAACTTATTTTAAGAAAATCAAAAATTATAATGTTTATTTAAAATATTTTGAACAAAGCTTAACTTAGCTTCTGTGCCGAAAAGATGTAATTTGAAAATAAAACAAATCAGGCCGTATACTTTCGCGTCATTTAACAGGTGATGAATGACATATTGATGGGTTCCGTGAGGCTAATTTTTCTACAGAAGGGGAAAAGTGAAATAATTTACATTTAAGTGAACAAATTATTTACCTCATTATTTTTAAGGAAAACTTTCAGCGCTCTAATCTTCTTCTTTTTTTTTTTTTTTTTTTTTGTGCTTAGCTTTCACCTTTACGTTTACAATGCTTTATGGAAAATATAAAGAAATTGAAATAAAACTGCTAGGAGTGAGATTAAATTTAATATTTCATAAGAAAGGTATCAAATTAATTTATAGGTACCTTTCTTATGAAATTTTATCTGAAGTGTACATAAAATACTATATTTTTATGTACATTTATTACATTCTACTGTTATTTGTATTTCCATTCATTTTATTATTAATTTTGCTATTTCATTTATGGAAAAATGTCATAACCGGGATTAATATAAAAATAAGATCATATAAATTTCATAAGATGATACTGATACTTGTAGGTACCCTTCTCAGTTGAAATTGAAAAATCAAATTAACTTCTCCACACGTTTCACAAAAGTAAAGACCTTAACAGCAGAGAACAATGCTTAACTCAAATAACACAACTTAATTGTATTCTGGTTGGTCTTCCGTACTTTATAATTACAACCCAATCATAAACACAAAATTACATTTCTTAATTACTGTGAGTCTTCTGATTAATGAAAACGATACAATTTAAAACGCGCTAAAAAGATCTCATAAGGACACTTAGGAAACCTGATGCAGCTTTTAACTAATTTTATAATATTTTAAAACTTAAATGTAAAAATCTATTATAATTAAAGAAATAACAAATAATTGTATTAAAAATTCATTTTTCATCGAAAAAATTTTTTGCTTTCAGAAAATATTGTCCATATTCATAAAAACGACTAAAAGCAAATAAAAGCATTTGAAATTAAATAGTATCTTTGTTTTATTGAGTTTTGTATGTTACAATTAAGAGCTGATTTTCAGGTGGTGGTGGGGGGTAAAAGAAAGTATAATTTCGATCATCTGTGAATAGTTCCTGTAAGTTTCATTAACATCCGACAATTTATATTTTTGCAAGATTTTCCAAATTAATGTGTGTCATATAAAAAAAAACGTGCTAAAAATTGTCTGTTATTTACTAGTTCCACTGATAGAGAAACAAGTTTTTTTTTAATCAAAATTTAGAATGTTCTAAAAAGAGGGAAAAAATTTTTTTAAATAATCAAAATAAACTTTGATCTTTCCTCTTAATAACAAGCATTTAGATGATAAAATTGTTTTCAGCAAGCTTGGCGTCTTTTTCATCAAGCTGTGCTCTTTTTTTTTTTTAGCTATTTCATGCAGGTACCTGTTTTTATTTGTCGAAATATGATTATTCTTTAAAAAAAAGAAAAAAAAAATTTTTTAATACTTTTAGCAGTCCAACCAGTGCCACAGTGGAATATCTATAATATAAAATTTTAAATTTATTGCAGAATGAATAGTAACACTGATAACTGTTTTGAAATTGTGCATTCAAAACTAAGCAGTCAGTTTTGATTGGCTAAAAAGTGTCAGTTGGCTGCATACTAACAGGAATTTCAAATTGGACTATTTTTCAATGTTACTATATTTTGAATTTCATTATTTGCAACTTTTGCTATTACCATAATGTATAATATGCATTTTTCAAAATTTTTCAATCAGTTTATTAGTTTTATATATACGTATATTAGTTCTATGAGCAATTGATGTCTTAGTCATGGAATTTACATTTCTGGATGTGTGCTGTTATTGTATTTTGCAAGGAAACTTGTAATAAACACAATTCTCTTTTTTTTTTTTTTTTTTTTTTTTTTCCAAGCAAAAGGATAATCTGTCAAACTAGTGTTGTTTGAAAGGGATCCTAAAAATTACCTTTAAAAATTACAGTACTTGCTCAAATATTTTTTGATACACAATTTTACCTTTCTTAAAATAAAAAGTGACAATGCTTCCATTTTTCAATAGGGAAATCCATCAACAAAAATCATAATTTCAACTTTTTAACTATGTATACTAAATAAACCTCTTGCTGTTAAATAGTAGGTGGAGGGCAATTCATATTTTTAGGGAATGTGTTGAAAAATATTTATAAGAGAAATGCTTTTTTAATGTTAATTTATTTCTCTACCTACATGTGGTTTTTATTAATGCCAACCGAAGTATGGAAAATAAAGCTCTCATCATAAATTTCAAACCCTCCAACTTTTTCATTGCACCAAGAATAGTAAATTTGTATGCCATAAAAAAATAAAAATAAAAAAAATGCCTGAAAATTTAAAAACTTTGTTGTTACAGAACTGAGTAATGAGAAGCATGGTTGGAAGAAATCTAGCTACTATAAAAAGTTTGATGTGAGTTTCTCAACTGTCAAAGACAATGTAGAACGGGTTGATGCATCCAAGCTGTCAATAGAAGAATTTATAAAGAACTACGAGTCCACATTTAAACCTGTTGTGCTGACCAACGTCCAGAAGAGCTGGAAAGCCAAAGAAAAATGGACCCTAGAGGTAAGTAGATAAGCATTTTAATAAATCTTTTATAAGGAATGCAAAAATGAGGAAGCAAAATGGCTGCCTTTACTCTATTCTTTCTATATCCAGCCTTCTTCATATATTTCTCATATTTGGTAATCTTTTGAAAATTCAAACTGAATACCATCATAAAGGTTAACGAGGTGACTAAAATACATAGATGACACTGTCATACTATTGCCTTACCAGCAAATACTGCTGAACCATGTGAGTAATAAAACTGCCAACAGTTCACAATGGAAAAGGAAAATAGACCATGCTGGATAAACTAATAACTTGCAGAGAGTATGTGTGGGTTTATGATATCTAACCAACATTCACCTGACAACCCTAATCTTGATTCTCAATGGGTAAAAAGCTACCATTTGTTGCCTATAATGAGGAAAAATTAATAAATATCAATCCAGATACATACCAAGAGATAATGGTCAGCATTAGAAATTTTATTTGGAGTGACAATTACCATATTTGTCAGCCTTATAGATGCAGTTTTTGCCCTGAAATAAGTCTTGAAAATTTGCTGTGCGTCCTTGAGGGTGAAGGTTAGGGTTTTCATAGGTCTATACTAACTCTAGAGGAAGGTTATCTATGCTAGACAGTAAACTGAATTCCTGTATATGATGTCTTAATTAAATTTATAAATTATACACCATTTAAGGTAGTAAATAAAGTATCATAAAAGATGTATATGTACAGAATGTTTTTGTGGTAGACTAGTTAATAAAACCAACAGACTAGTCATATCAAGGAAGTTAAACACAGCTAGCACCATTCTGTCTTGATGAATGTCCTAGTTGACAACTGTCAAGCCACACCCACTTCTTGTCATAATATGATAACTATTAACAAAGTTTCTATTTTTCTATTGTTTCTATTAGTTTTATTGTTTTGTGTTTCTCAATCTTTGTTTATTCTGCCCTATGAATAAGATTTAAAAAAAAAAAAAAAAAAAAAAGGGGTAGACCTAGATAAGCTTTTTTTTCCCCTCTACACATATAATGGACTTTCAGCCAATATTTCATTGAATGAGAAAAAAAAAGAACACTGCTAGGGAGAACAATGAATTGTGAAACTGGAGTATCATTGTGTTTGATGCAGCTCTACGCTGAGTACATATCCCACTCAGTATTTTATATCTCTAAGAGAAAGTAAACTTGCGTGTCTGTGTCTTGTTAGTGTAAAATGATAAAATCCTGTTCACAAGTGATTAAGCATCTTGGTAAAGTGGGGGAAAGGGCTGAGGCCATATTTTCATGTTTACTTTTTTTTCTTTCTAAAACTTTAAACTTGGTATATGTCCTTGATGTTGCCAAATATGGTATCTTGCAAGTATGACATCAGCTTTCATGGGCAGAGATATAAAGGTTGAAGACAATAATTAGAAAACTACCATGGTCTCTTTATCTTAAATTCCAGGCATATCAGGGGGATAAAAATTGAAGAGTGTGATCTCTACAATATCAAATTGTGGTGTGTGTCTGTGTCCCCATTTTACCTAAATAGGCAGTTTGCATTCCCTTTAGGCTCTATAGAAGGTACCCTCATATAGATATCAAACTATTCTGGTGATGCTTCTAACAGCTGAAGAGACTTTTTTTTTATAAGAATAACAATGATTTTTCCATATACAAGTCCTATTTAACCCATAGCTGTGGAGAGGTGAAGTCATATCTTTCCCAAGCATATTTGCACGTAAAAGTGAATGCAAAAACTCTACTGGAATTTGAACTCTGCTCTCTGATTTCTTATTCCAAACCACTATCCATTACACTACCTGCACATTCAGATTAAGTGGAAATAAGTTCCCTATACAAACAGTGCATTCAAAATTAATAATGAAAAGGGACAATTGGTTGGAATATTTCTTTTCAGCTGAAAAGGTGTCTTTTCAAGAGAAAAGTTAAATAAAATATGATCAACAGTTGTAAGAACAAAAATAGATGAATAATGAAATTTTTTAACCAAATTGTAAAGTATCCAAACTGATTACTTTATTTTTCCATTGTCAATAAAAGCTGGATATTCAGTCAAGTAATTACAATGCAACCCTGCAGTCTAAGCAATCTTTAGTGGCACAACTGAAGCCATCTTCATCAAGAGACAAAAGAGCAATGCTACTTTAGAGAAAGAAAAGATATAATGAGAAATAAAAAAAAAATTTAAAAAAAAGAGATAAGAGCTTACTGAGAGGCAAAACAAAGTGCTTTTTGATAAAAAAAGAGAAAAGGTCTCCAGAGCTGGCAGTTTTGAGAGAAGTTTTTTTTAAAGAATGAAGGAAAATAATTCATAGTGAGCATAGAAAGAATAGAAAGCTGTTCTCAAAGAAAGTGAATTATGAAGAAAATAAAAACAAAAGTGGTAGTAACTGTTCATCTTAAGTTCTTATACCGATATGGGAAAGAAAGGAACTGTTTTTTTTTTTTTTTTTTGTATCACCCCAAGCAAGGCAGTACAGCCACTCTCATGCAAGTGGTTACGGAGATGTCAAAGAAACATTAGTAAATAAGAGGAAGAAAAAAAAGAGCAATCAGGAGTACAGTTCACCAAAGCTGACAAAAATGGCTCACCAGAGTTGACAATAACTGGGACAATAGACAGTGACTTGCAGGAGGTAGCAAGGCATTTATTATATAGTTTAGAGAAAACAGGACCTAGTTCAGGTACACACTTCTTAATGACTATTACAGGGATACCATCGGGTCTGCATGTTTTGTGTGGATCCAGGTTAGTGATGATAGCAGACACCGTGGAAGGTGTTATATACATATCACTCTACTGAGACTCAGTTCTAGGTGGAGAGTTAGGTAGGGATACTCCAGATGGGAGTAGTTTGAGGAGAATTTATAGGCAAAGCATAACACCTCAAATCAATTGATGAGTGGTCGGGATAGATACCTTGCACTTACTACCCTATTACAGAGTCACCAGTAAAGTTTTTAAAGGCTAGGTAGTGTCTCATTCTATCAGTAAACAGGGATTTAGCTCCTTCAAGGACTCTTACAGGTAGTAGCAAATAGGCTCCTGCTATAAGAGCTGTCACACTGACATACCTGAAAATAGTGGTTCCTATGTGTTATGGCAGCCAAGCATGCTGGTAAGAACCATGGAGAGGATTACAGTTTCACCTGGTATTTCTGGGAATAGAAGAAAGCATCTATGTCAGCTTTGACCCAGGAAGAAACCTCAATGGCCCTATTTTCAATTGGGAGGTTGATGTCCAAGGAGCATCACAAAGAAAATTCCAGAATGAGTCCCATCAGCATGTTGGTCATGGAAAGAGGTTTTATGGATGGGGTGGGGTCCTGTTTAGTGAATGTTTGGAAGGAGATATCAATGGCTACCACAGAGTGGTCTGAGTTACCTAGGGGCCAGTATTGCAAAGCTCAGCAAGAGCGAGGAGAAGAGGTAAAAAAATAGATCCAGTAGAGAAGCCTGTTGCTCGGTTTAGCTAGGGAAACAAGTAGGGGAGTCCATGATTTGAGTGAGAGATTGGGCAATGTAAACATTTAATGTCTGTACACTGGCAACATCATTACCTTTTAGAATGTTCCAGCCATGGTGAGCATTAAAGTCACCGAAGACAAAGATGTTCACAGATGGATGGAGAGAATGTGCCTTTTCTATAGTCAGCTATTGTGTCTAATATACTGCAGTCTTGGAAAGAGGGCGAGCGATAAAGGAAAAAGAGCTGACAGTTTAGTAGTGAAAGACAGAAGCACATGAAAGAATAGTCAGCGACCTCAAGAGACGATTACTCTGGCCATTGGCAAATTATCCTGGATATAAACACCAAGGCCATGCATGTGAATGCTGAAATCTTTTCGGCAAAGAGGAAGATAACCTGGAACCAAGAATTCATTGATCACAATGAGAGAATTCAAGTAGATTTCAAAAGGTCAAAGATATCTAGCAATTCCTTTAGGGAAGGATTCTACACTGCAGAAGTTGGAATGGATACTGCAAATATTGCAAAGAGAGAAAGATTGCAGTGATGAGGTGAAAAGAGAGAGGAAAAAGGTCGCCATAATTGTCTTTATCTCTCATCAGTGGCAATACAAACCAGCCAGTGTGTGACCGGGAGCAGAGCCTAATGTAGCCTCAGAGTTGCCCACCAGAAATACATGCAGGGACACCTGCCCATGAACAACATGGCACTACAGATATCCCAATATTATACAACTGTCGATCAGAGCAGCCTCTCTAAGTACTACAAAAGAGTCCAGGCTCCTAATGACCAGTTGGAAGCAGCCACCAGCAGACGGCCAACTCGATACCCTCATAATGGAAAGTCACAGCCACTGGTTAGTCTGATCAACAAAAAAGTTAAGACAGTTAAATCATTATGGTGGTGGTGATAAGAGAAAGAAAGAGAACCTATAAATTATATCCTGAACGGGGAACAAGGGATTAACCTCTACTCCTGTTCAATAGTCATGGAAGGAGTGCAAATCAGATGATAGGTGGGCCTATCTACTCCTACTAGCCTGTAAAAAAAAAAAAAAAAAAAAATCATATTAAGTAATGACTTACTATAAGTTCTGATGTCTACTACCATCTAAAAATCAGAATAGAAGTTAATTTTCCAGCATTGGTACTTAATGGTGGGTAAGCATATTCTAAATTAAACATGTTGTAGGGTGTGGGCTGAATAAAAAGAAAAAAATTAACAATGGAAAAGAGAAAATAATGACAGAATGATAAGTGAAGAGATCAGAGACAAAAACAATTAAAAAGTAAAAATATACAATAGTAACAAAGGATTAAACATTTACAAACATGATCTTGACAAGGCTTTCTAACTTACAAGTGGGTTCTCATGTTTCTTGTCAGACTTGATGTCGATGATGGATTAGTGAAAATTACAGCCAACTTTGAAATACATCTCAACATCAATATACAATGGGTTGGGATAGGAGGGGATGTGGAGTGAAGGGTCCAAGCAAGGTAAGTCACTACCTTGGGACGAGTTGTCAGTGGATATGGTAGGGGGTGAAAGATCCTAATCTCACTTCAGAAAGCTGGTACTAGGGTGATGAGCCATCTGGTACTTGGTGGGAGTGTGGTTGAGGTGTTGTTGGAGTGAAGGCTCTTTTTAAAAAAAAAATTTTTTAAGGAAAAACAAAGCTTATCTCTTAAGTAATGGACAAATATTGCTACCTATTGGAGCGAGGGGTGGTAATCCATTGCTTTGAAAGAAAAGCAACAAATTTGTAGATGGCATCTTAGTTGTTTTTGATGGAGTGGGTGCTGAAAAGTTCTGTTCCACCAACTTGTTCATCTAATGATGGAAGATGCCTTTTCAGGTTGAAATTTGCAGCCATTACAACTTGTATAAGTACAGTTCTTTGTAGCATGAGATTAACAAAATGTTGATTATATTCAAACTCACAATTACTGGTGCAAGGTGGATACCAAGTTGGTTTCAATTTTGTTCTTTTCTTATAAAATATATTTCTCGATGATAGTTTCTCCTTGTCAGAAGCTACATTTTGTTTCTATTTTATTACATTTTATATAAGAATTACTATCAGTTTTTTTGGTTTTTTTATAGCACTGAAATCAAAAGTAGCAATAAAGCAAAACAGCCAAATACAACTTTCTCATCTTTTATAACAATCACCTTGAATTATAATCTCTGGTAGATGACCTGTTTAATGTGGATTCTCATTTGGTTTTATTAAAATTTATTTTTGTCGGTGTAGTGCTATTTAAAAAAAAAAAAAACTGTCTTAAATGATTTCCTGTCAACATCTGTAGATTTACAAATTAAAATACTCCAAACTTTTAACCCAATTGACTTTGTGTTGGCAATTTTCTGTTTCATGCTAAAAACAAGAATTATATGTATGGATCTTTTTTAAATTTATCTTTTTTCCTTTGTGTTTTTTAGAGATTGTCCAAGAAGTATCGCAATCAGAAATTCAAATGTGGAGAAGATGACGAAGGTTATTCAGTTAAACTGAAAATGAAATATTTTTTAGAATACATGAAACAGAATGAAGATGACAGCCCTCTGTACATTTTTGACAGCAGTTTTGGTGAGGTATAGTCTCATCTACTGCTGCTGCTATCTCTCTTACTTCCTCCTTTCTTTTCTTTTTGTATCAACAAATATCACTTGTGTTGATTTGTCTTAAGCTAAAAATTTGGGGGTTGGGATTTTTTTTTTATGGAATTGTCTTAATGGGGACTGACATTTTTCTTTCAAATAGTTGAACTATTTCTTTACAAGTCTGGTTTGCATTGTACATAAAGGTAAATATTTGTATAGAAAATAAATTCTTTACTGGCATTAAATTTTGTGTAAATACTTACATATAAATTAACTAATTGTAGGATTTTCTTCATTGCATTGTAAAATATTTGTGCAAAATGTTCTTAGTGCTGGAGACTAGCTACATGATGGGAAACTTTTGTTACAATATTAATTTTAGTTCTATGAATTGATTAGTTAGTTTAGGTACCTCCACGAGATCGCTAAAAAAGAGTATAGCATGATGAAAAAGACGCCAAACTTGACGAAAACAAAATTTTATCATCTAAATGTTTGTTATTATTAAGAGGAAAGATCAAAGTATTTTGGGGGTATTTTTTTCCATTTTTTAATCGTTCGTAGCACGTCTGAAATTTTCGTTAAAAATCTAGTTTTTTTTTTGTTTTTGTTTTTTTTCGAGTCAGAAAAATTGACCATTTTTTTCCATTTAAAACAAAAAAACTGGAAATCTCACTTTGAAATTCTTTTAAATATCAATTATCATTTTTTCAAAACTTATTTTAAGAAAATCAGAAATTATAATGTTTATTTAAAATATTTTGAACCAAACTTAGCTTTTGTGCCAAAAAGATGTAATTTGAAAATAAAACAAAGCAGGTCATAAACTTTCACGTCTCTTGACAGGTGATGAATGACATATTTACAAATTCCATGAGGCTAATTTGTTCTACGGAAGGAGAAAAGTGAAATAATTACATTTAAGTGAGCAAATTATTTACCTCGTTATTTTTAACAAAAACTTTTAGCAGTCTAATTTTTTTTTTTTTTTTTTTTTTTTGCTTTCACCTTTACATTTATGGTGCTTTATGGGAAATATATTCTAAAGAAATTAAAATAAGACTGTTAAGAGTGACATTAAATTTCATATTTCCTAAGAAAGGTACCTAATTAATTTATAGGTACCTTTCTTATGAAATTTTATCAGAACTGTACATAAAATACTATAATTTATGTACATTTATTACATTTTACTGTGTTATTTGCATTTCCATTCATTTTATTATTAATTTTGATATTTCATTTATGGAAAAATGTCATAACAGATTAATATAAAAATAAGATCATATAAATTTCATAAGATGATACTGATACTTGTAGGTACCCTTCTCAGTTGAAATTGAAAAAATCAATTAACTTCTCCACCGTGTTTCGCAAAAGTAAAGGCCTTAACAGCGGAGAACAATGCTTAACTCAAATAACACAACTTAATTGTATTCTGGTTGGTCTTCCGTACTTTATAATTACAGCCCGGTTATAAGCACAAAATTACATTTCTTAATTACTGCGGATCTTCTGATTAGTCAAACTGATACAATTTACAATGCGCTAAAAAGATCTATCTCATAAGGACACTTAGGAAACCTGATGCGGCTTTTAACTAATTTTATAATATTTTAACAACTTAAATGTAAAATCTATTATAATTAAAGAAATAACAAATAATTGTATTAAAAATTCATTTTTCATCGAAAAAACTTTTTTGCTTTCAGAAAATATTGTCCATATTCATAAAAACAACTAAAAGCGAGTAAAAGCATTTGAAATTAAATAATATCTTTGTTTTATTGAGCTTTGTATGTTACAATTAAGAGCTGATTTTCAGGTGGGGGGGTCAATTAAAAACAAAAAAAAAATGATTTGCATTCCTCAAAGCCCTGTGCTTTCAATTATTGTAATCACTAAACCCGATGCGATCGAATTTCTAGCGTTTTTATAAAATTAGTTATGGGGGGGGGTAATAAATATTTAAAAAAAAAATATTTCTATCATGATAGAATAATAAAAAAAACATATTTATAATAATTTCGATCATCTGTGAATAGTTCCTGAACATTTCATTAACATCCGACAATTATTTCTATTTTTGCACGATTTTTTAAATTAATGTGTCATACAAAAAAACGTGCTAAAAATTGTCTGTTATTTACTAGTTCTGCTGATACAAATAGAAACAAGGTTTTTTAATAAAAATTTAGAATGTTCTAAAAAGAAGGAAAAAATTTTTAAAAAGTAATTTAAAAAAACTTTGGTCTTTCCTCTTAATAATAACATAAGCATTTAGACAAAATTTTGTTTTTGGCAAGGTTGGCGTCTTTTTCATCAAGCTATGCTCTTTTTTTAGCGATTTTGTGGAGGTACCTAAGTTATTATAATAATAATAAAAGGTGTATTTGATGTATCTCAATTGCTGATACCCCCTGACAAGTGGACAGAAACTAAGTGCCAAGCCTTGAAAGTATATTATAATTTCAAGGTTTGGCACTTGGCTGATTGATATTACCTTCAGCATAACCAACTCTAGAGTTTCTGTCGATTTGTCAGGGGGTATCAGCAATTGGGATACATCAAATACACCTTTTATTTATTTTATATATATATATATATATATATATATATATATATATATAGTTGTCTATCTAAAATCTATATAAATTTGATATTTTTTCCTTTAAGATAAGATTTTTGTTACTGTTTGGCATTATGATTATGAGAATAACATAGAAATTGTTAAAAATGAATTAAAATTTTCACTTTCAAAAATTTTTTTTTTTTTTTCTCATATCTTTGGTATTTTTTTATTACAATTTCAAAGATAAAGACTAAAAACTACATAGGTATAGATAAAACTCAACAACACATGCAAGAAGTGTAGAAAAAAAATCATTCCAACATTATTCAATTACTTTAAATTATAATCTCTAATTGATACTTTTTTATATTTCCTTTTATTTTTGAAAATCTCAAATCTTTCTAACGATTTTATGCCAAAAGTGTTTGGTTTTTTTTTTTGGTTTTTTTTAAGGAAAGCCAAATAGCAATATCTGAATTCTTAAGCTGCCGTGTGTATCAGTCTGTACGTCTTTTGTTAGAAATGCACTTGCTTTATAGTTTTTATATTTTTATCTCTTCTTTTTTTTTCTTTTTCCCTTTCTTTACTACTTTCAGCATCCAAAACGTAGAAAACTATTAGAAGACTATGAAATACCCAAGTTCTTTCAAGATGACCTCTTCAAACTGTCCGGAGAGAAACAAAGACCTCCATATCGGTATGTGTGATTTTGTTATTTCATTATCAGTCAAATTAAGTAATTTTTGATTGGTTTATTGACTGGGCATGGAACTAAAAATTGCAGCCTTGTGGATTTATTTCATTTTAATGGTGAGAGAAGATAATGAATTCAGTTCTTGGTGTTGCAGCTTAACTGACAGTGATGTGGTTTGGATTATACTGCAATTTAAAATATATATATATATAAGTTGGAAGTTTTTGTGTGACAGGTTTCATCCTTTAGTCTGAGGTCTTAAAGGGTGAAACACATCACACAAAAAACTTCCCACTTTGTCATAATTTATTCCCTAAAATTGTGTCACAGCTCATTGGTGTGGCTAGACACCAGGTTGCTTCGAAGACATCTAAGGGAAAAGAAGTTGCTAGAGTGTAAGTGGTGGTTACATTTAACTATTTCAACAGTAAAAGGATGGGACTTAGATGCCAGTCTAGTAGAGCACTTAAATTTATGAAGTCTGGGCATGAGGTGTGGAGGGGACTCGACAGAACAATAGCCATGGAAATATTTGTAGAAAAGACAGAAGGAAGCCACATCACATTAGTGAGAAAGTGTCTGGAGTTGAGATGCCAAGTCAGGATTGATTACATTGCAGATCCTTCTTTGGATTTTGTTGTGATTAATAGCAGATGCACCTATATATTCAATCTAGTTGTTGACTTAGTCATTCGAAAACATAAGGCCAAGAATGTGCAGAGAGGCACTCTCCTGGAGTCTAGCATCACCCCTGCTAATGGTGGGTAAGGAATTCTCTCTCTGGTGGCTAAATGAGAACAGCTTTGTTTTGGAGGCATTCAAATTTACAAGCCATTTCCTACCCAAGTTAACCACTGATTGAAGGTCTTTTTGAGAGCAGTGGCCAGGTTGACTTTGTCTGCACTGCTAGGTTTACTATTGAGACAGGAGTAAATGGTAGTGTCCTCTGCATAGATGCCTACTTGGGAACTGATGACATCGCAAAGATCATTGATGGAGATCAGAAACAGTCTAGGACCCAGCATAGTCAGGTGGAGGGGATCTGCATTCATCAGGAAGGATCTGGAAGCATGCCCAGTAAGAACAACCTTCATTTCATGATTTGAAAGGAATGATTGGATTAAATCAAATAGTCGTCCTTACGCAGAAGACCAGCATGCCAAACTCTGTGAGACATCTTTGAGATATCTAGAGCCACAGCTTGAGCTTCACCGTTCTTATCAAGCGAACCAGGCAGATGAATGCAGTTTAACTTGGTATTTCCTAGCTGGAATGAAAGCATCAATGACAGCTTTCACCCATGAGACCTCAGCTGCACATTTTTGAATGAGGTTTAGTAAAACCACATTTCAAGGGACGTCTCAAAGGAAATGACAGAATAAGTCCCAATCTGCTCGTTGATAGCATAAGGATATTCTGTTGGTAGGAGGGTCATGGTAGGGGGAGGAGTAGAAGGAGATGTTTACAGATAGCACAGTGTGATCACAATTGCCAAGAGGGCAGAACTGCTTAGTATAACAAGAGTTGAAGAAGAGGGGCATTTCTGTCAGGGTTACTGAAGAAACGCATGGGAAAGTCAACCACTTATGTGAAAGATTGAGGAGGTAAGGGTTTGGATGTCAGCGAGGTCAGTAGCAGTTTTTAAACCACTTGGTATGTATTAATTACATTATGTGAATATTTTACTATTTATAAATCTAAGACTCAGGGAAGGGGTCTGTACTGGTTTAACAACAGCATCTCCATTCAAACATGAATGGTGGAGCGTCACTTCTATGTCTTGATTCATATCCACAAGATCTTCATGGAATTTTTTTGTAGAATTAGGTTTATGATGTTCAATGTTTAAAATTAAAAAAAAAATTCTTGAATAATATAAATTGTCTAATATGGATACATCCCATCATGCAATTGAGCAATAACAAAAATTCCATCTGAAGAATAAATCAACCAGATCATTTGGAGGTGGAGAGAAGGGGAAAAAAAGAAATATTTTAAAAACTTGCTTTGTTCAAAATACAAGGTAACCAAAAAAGTTCTGTCCGTATTTAAAGGAAAAAAAGAAAACGCTTCACAGTATGTGTAACTTATATTTAGTCTTCAAAGTAATAGCAATCGGCATCCAGCACCTGCCAACGGGTCTCCAGCTGTTCAATTTGACGCAAAGAAGTCAGTGAGGGCTTTGCGCAAGTCTGCTTCATTGGTGAAGGATTTCCCACAAAGATGATTATCCAGGGAGTGGAAGAGGTGGTAATCGGGTGGCGCAAGGTCAGGTGAATAAGGTGGATGGCACAAAGTCTCCCACCCAAGTTGCTGTATGGTATCCCTAGACATGTGGCCTGGCATGGTTATGGAGGAAGAGCACACCTTTGCGATTCACCAGTGCTGTCTCCTTCTGGCGCAATGCCTGTTGCACATGTTTCAATTGCTGCGAGTATAGGTCTCCAGTGACTGTTTAGCCCGTTGGTAGCAGTTCATAATGAACCACTTGATGATCTGTCCACCAGACACAAAGCATAATCTTGAGTGGGTGCATAGCCGGTCTCGTGGTGTGAGGGACAGCATCTTGAGGAGGTAACCAATGTTTGGAACGCTTGGGAGTTTTGTACAGAACTCACTTTTCATCACTGGTAAGCACTCGATTGAATAAGGATGCGGTACGGTGGCGAGAAAGCAGTGATACGCAGGCTGCCACACGTTGTCCCTTGTGGACCTCCAACAGTGTTTGCGGAACCCACTTGCTCAGTTTGTACGTCTTACCTAGGCAGTGTAGGTGAAGTCTGTTTCATAGGAAACATTGAACTGTCTTGCAAGTTCACCACACGATAGACTACTGTACTCTTCAATGGCCGCCTTCAGGACTCCGTCATTCGAGACCTGTGGTTGTCCACTGCGAGGCTCATCATGGAGAGACAAATCTCCCGACTTGAATTTTCGAAACCAACGCCTTGCAGTACGTTCATCCACAGCACTATCCCCAAACATTTAACATATAACTTGATGCAGCTGCTGATAAGCCCACTTTGAAGTCGTAAAGCAAACTGCCCCGAACGAGATCTCTAGACACTTCCATCCTTCTCACAGCTGTCCGGCTTATAACTGATGGCCGGGCACAGTGCACGTGTTTTTTATAACATCTGATGTTCCTACTTCTGGTTGTCTGAATTTAAAAACAATTGCTACACGCATTTCATATATATTTCAACTTCATTCAATGACTAATCTAAAACGGACAGAACTTTTTTGGTTACCTTGTATTAACATTTTTTCTCAATACTAAATCAGTGCATGTGTGAACTTTTAGTATTAAGTTATTTAGTATTAAGTTATTTAGTATTAAGTTATTTAGTATTAAGTTATTTAGTATTAAGTTATTTAGTATTAAGTTATTTAGTATTAAGTTATTTAGTATTAAGTTATTTAGTATTAAGTTATTTAGTATTAAGTTATTTAGTATTAAGTTATTTAGTATTAAGTTATTTAGTATTAAGTTATTTAGTATTAAGTTATTTAGTATTAAGTTATTTAGTTTAAGTTATTTAGTATTAAGTTATTTAGTATTAAGTTATTTAGTATTAAGTTATTTAGTATTAAGTTATTTATTTTAGTTATTAAGTTAAGTTATTTAGTATTAAGTTATTTAGTATTAAGTTATTTAGTATTAAGTTATTTAGTATTAAGTTATTTAGTATTAAGTTATTTAGTATTAAGTTATTTAGTATTAAGTTATTTAGTATTAAGTTATTTAGTATTAAGTTATTTAGTATTAAGTTATTTAGTATTAAGTTATTTAGTATTAAGTTATTTAGTATTAAGTTATTTAGTATTAAGTTATTTAGTATTAAGTTATTTAGTATTAAGTTATTTAGTATTAAGTTATTTAGTATTAAGTTATTTAGTATTAAGTTATTTAGTATTAAGTTATTTAGTATTAAGTTATTTAGTATTAAGTTATTTAGTATTAAGTTATTTAGTATTAAGTTATTTATTTAAGTTATTTAGTATTAAGTTATTTAGTATTAAGTTATTTAGTATTAAGTTATTTAGTATTAAGTTATTTAGTATTAAGTTATTTAGTAAAGGAAAGCAAAAAGAAAGCTGTAATTATTAACAGTAAGAAGTAAGAGACAATCCAAGATGTGAGCTTTGTATTGGTGATGTCAAAATCATGCTTGCTCAGAAATTTAACTATCTGGCTAGTGTCATAACAGGTGATGCAAAATGGGACTCAGAAATCAAAAAGTACATAGAAATAGTGACAAATGCTTTTCAGAAACTAAGCAAGATATTAAAAAATATGAAAATGTGCTTAGAAACTGTGCTGAATTGTGATGTAATATCTAATTGCCCATATGGCAGAGGAAGAATAGCCTTGGATTGAACAAAAGTGTGGTTCTACTAACAAGAATGTTAGCAACAAGGAAGTTTTAAAGAAATTACAAAGAAATTTATACTTACAATCAGAAAGAAACGACTGGAATTTCAGGAACGTGAGTAAAGAGTGCCTGGAGAAATTAACACACAGTATATTGAGTGCAAGAGAAATGTGGGAAGGAGGGAGCCATTGAGTATGTGTGAATGGGTAACAGTGATGGTAAAGGATCAAGGGTGATTTAAAATAACAAAAGGTAACAAGTTTTGAAGTGTCATGGTCACTTATCTTTTCATGACTTCTTACTTATTATAAAACCCAGGTTGTGTGTGTCTGTACGTTTATATATTGGATCGAATTTCCTACATTTTTCAACCGATTTCAACAATCAAATTTATAAAGTTTTTAAAATTTTTATAGTGTGAAACAGTACCATCAGAGAAATATATCATTTTTTGGACATCAAAATCAAGAATTTCTTTTAATTTTTCTATAAGCTTTCTTTGAAACAAATGGACAGCTACTGTGTCATGCTTGAGACAATCAGATATTATTACAAAATTAATATGCTCAAGGTCAATTCTATTTCTATAGTAGCAGATGAATGGATGCAATGTAGCTTGATCATTATTCCAGTGGAAGCCTTGAGCCGCATCTTGCAAAATAAATGAATAATTCTCAGCAAAATCTATTGCTAAAACTTCACCAACCTTCAAAGAACCTTTTCTATCAGAACAAAATTTTGATTGTGCTTTGGCAATAAAATTATGCTTCTTCAATGTTTGAAGGCCTGCATGGAAAGTTTTCAGTGAATTCCTCTGTGGATTGTGATAGTTTGTAGAGTGGTTCTATCAGTTGATAACAACTGTTTGTATACAAAATCATCAACTGAATTTTTGTAAAAAATTTCTTCCATATACAAAACAAAATCATCCATCAGTTTGCTGCAAGTTGAGCAGTCACCCAAGTATTAGGTTGGAGCAAAAATAATATCATTTTTTGACGTTCAACTTAACATCAAAAAATGACATTATTTTTGCACCAACCTAATAGCAACTTGCTGATGCTTCATTGCATGTAACAGCAAGTATGCATTGGTGGTAATCTGTCAAATAATAATTTTCTCCTTCAGTCAGTTTACCAAGATGAGATCCTGAAATCATCAACTTCATATTCTGATGGATTGTGCAAATGCAGACAGTATGAGTCCCAGCACCACCTGCTAGCACACATTCTTTTGGTCTAAGCTCAGCGAATTTAGGAAAGCTTATTTTCTCCTGGTTCTTTGATTTGAATAATTCAAATGCCTCTTTTCAAGTTACAGAGAACAAGATATTTTTGTTCCTGAACACGTTTCCCATCCTTTAAAACAGCCTTGTAATCATTTTTTCCAGGCATCACTCTACTGACTTCACTTTTATAAAACTGCCTCACTTTATCAATTGTCTCTTGTGGGAATCTAGTTTTTCGTGTATTTGGCAAAGCTAAAATTCCTTCCTCATTCACAAGTTTTTTTGCTTGTCTCGCCATGTACATTGTAGTGCCAAATTCTGTTTGTATTTTGCTTAGGCTCCAGCTTTTTGGAAGTACAGTCAGAATTTGAATTTTTTGTGATCTCTTTTCACTCACAGCAAAATTCTCTTTCAACTGGGTGATGATTTCTCTTTCAAAGTTTTGGTGTTCTGCGCTATTTGATTCCTCATGAGAAATGTTTGATGAAATTATACTGAATCTATTAGATATTGCTCCTGTAATTTTTTTCTATATATTTCTATATATCACTTTTTCCATGACAAAATCTGTGTTGCATTAGAAAAAAAATGAAGAAAATTCAGTTTCATCACCAGAAAAATTTTTTTTATTGATTTCATGACCATGGTCCTTATGTGAATATTAATCAGCATTAAAATAGCTTTACAAAGATATATAACTTGACCATATTGTGAAATATCAAAATGCTTTTATATCAAGTAGCAGATACTACATTCCGCCATTTTGAATTTTGCTCATTTCTATAAAATGCTTGTTGCAACACTTCTAGTGGAATGCCCATCATGAAATTTGGAATATACAGTAGCGTCTAAAACTAAGGGACAAAATTTTAAAACCTAATATTTGTTAGAAATAACAACAAAAAAAGCTGAAATTTTGACAACTGCTAGTCGTTATCATCCATAATAACATACTAAAATTTGAATCATTTGCAAAGGATACAAAAAAAGAATTATAACAATTATTTATTTATTTTCAAATTTGGAACATCCAAAAGTAAGGGACAAAATTGAGAAAAACAATGTAAACAGCAAAAAAACAATAAAAATACATGTACAATCAATATTTAGTAAATGAGCCCTGCTCTCAATGACAGCTGCACATCTTCGACTGCAAGAACGAATCAGTTCTTGACAATCCTCTATACTAATTTTAGACCATTCTTCTTGAAGCTTCACCCACAAATCCTCCGTGTTAGTGGGATTTCTTTCCATAACTTTCACTCCTACGGTCTTCCAAAGATTTTCTATTGGATTTAAGTCAGGACTTTGCGGTGGCCAATCCATAATTTCCAAATCTTGCTCGCTAAGGTAACTCATTACCACCTTTGCCTTGTGACATGGGGCATTATCTTGCATAAAGGTAGCCCTGTCGAAACCTGAATTCTCTATGATTGGCACAACATGATCTTGGACAATGTTTTTATAAATCTGCGCATTTTACGAAGTTTGTAACGGACAAGAGGCGTTGTACCTTGGCTGAAAACATTCCAAATACCATGACGCTTCCGCCCCCAAACTTGACAGTTTTCTTAGTACACTTTGCACTTAATCTTTCACCAATACGTCTCTTTACATTGTTTTTCCATCATTTCCAAATAAATTAAACTTGCTTTCATCACTGAAAAATACTTTTGCCCAATTTTCATATGTCCAAATTACATACCTGTTTGCAAACTCTAATCTCTTCTTCTTATTCTTGAACTAACAAGTGGTTTCTTCCCTGGGGTTCGATTAAACAGCCCTATTTCTTGCAGTCGTCTACAGTCTGTCTTGACACATTAACACATGAGGTACTATTCATAACCCTTTTAATTTCTGTGCAAGACTTAAAACAGTCCTTTAATGACATATGCTGCATTATTCGATCTTCTCTTGTCAAGTTTTATGGGTCTGCCGGTTTTAAAAGCACTAACTATTTTGCCAGTATCATTGTAGGATTTAACAACCCTGCCTACAACACTCTTGGAACGTTTCACTTTCTCTGAAATCTCTCTAATGATGTGCTTTTCCTTGTGTAGCTTCACAAAGCTTGTCTCATAGAGTAATCAAGTTTTTGGCGTTTTGCCATGGTGCCGACTGATGCAACGTTTACAAATGACTAAGTAAGACTTATTCTTTAGAGGAAATCAAAAAATTTGAATATAGCATACTGTTTACATTGTTTTTCTCAATTTTGTCCCTTACTTTTGGACGATCCTATTTTGAAAATAAATAAATAATTGTTATAATTCTTTTTCTATCCTTTGCAAATGATTCAAATTTTAGTATGTTGTTATGGATGATAACGACTACCAGTTGTCAAAATTTCAGCTTTTCACAGTTGTTATTTCTAACAAATATTAGGTTTTAAAATTTTGTCCCTTAGTTTTGGACACTAATGTATACTGTTATAAGATAGACAAATCTTTTGTCAAAATTTTAAAAAAAATTAAAATAACGTTTTTTTGAGTTAAGTCAGATCAAAGGTCAAGGCCAACTTTTTTATTTGACCTCTAAAAAAAAAAAATCCCCAGATAAAATTGTAGATCCATCCAAGTACTTTAGAATGATATATGAATGAACTTTGTAGGTCCATAAATAACTGAGATATCATCTTTTAAAGTTGGTCATTATTCACATTTTCATAAAAAGGTCAGAGGTCATATCTCAGGAACCCCTTGACCTTGAGATGTGTAACAGGTGCCATTCAATTCCTTTCATGGAGATCTATAAGTGTAGCAAATTTGAAAAAAATCCGTGTCTGACATAGTCTAACCCCTTGTTGATTTGACATGGAATGCGCCAAATTACATCCTTTTACATCCCTTTTACATCACTGACAAATTGAATTTCAAAAACTTAAAAATAATTGTGGTCTGAAGTGGATCTTCGTGTTGCCTGTTTTGCCCCTTCGTGTTCTGAGTTAACTTTAATGAAAGTACTTTAAAATAATTGAAGATGATAGACTCTGTTACATCTAAACATGATGCTGTTTTTGCTCCATTCTAATTGAACACTGTTTCTGATTGACCAGCTAAGTATGGGTGCTAGTTTTAAATAGTCATGACATTTGCAAATAGCTTATTTGGTCATTAAATTAAGAATTCTGATTTATCAGAAAATTCAAATAGATATTATTTATTATAAAAAATAAAAAACTTAAGATAAACTCTTGGGTGTAAAAAGTCTATCTTTCCATTTTGTGGACTGTATCAAAAATATGCAGATAAAATCCTCTCTACCTTAGGATTGTCAAGATTAATTTAAAATAATTAGAAACTACTTGTACAAACCTTTTTGTCAAACCATTTTGTTTGTTTCTTAGGGAAATAAAAACAGTATACAATGGAGTGTTGAAATGTTCTCAGCCCAACATGCAACAAAACATCAGAATAGCAAAGTACTTCTTAATTAGATTGAAAACTTTTCAAGATCTCTTTTTTTTTTCTTTTTTTTTTTCTTTTTCTTTTTTTTTTTTCTTTTCTTCTTCTTATTATTGTCAATGCAGTGTTTATTTTTCCCCTCATTCAACTTGCCTTCCAGGTGGTTTGTTATGGGTTCAGCTCGCTCAGGCACAGGGATTCACATCGACCCCTTAGGAACAAGTGCATGGAATGCCTTGGTCAAGGGACATAAGCGGTAAGTTTTTTTAAATATTTCTTTCCACAGAAAATGCCAATTAAGATATCATCTCTCCAAACTGATTGTCATCTCTTGTATTTTGGTTTATTAAATGAAGGTAAAAATGGTATTTTATAATTTTCTTTTTACAAAAAACAAAAAAAATATTGTTCACAATATTAGACATACATTTTTTATATATTAAAAAAAAAAATAATGATAATAATTCTATCTCTTATCAGGATATATGTGATCATGACTCTCCACAGATTCAGTTTTATTATTATTTGGGAATTACCACATATTCTTAGATCTACTAGTGGAGATGCTTCTCACTTCCTTTTCTATAGTTTGAAATTCCAAGCTTTTTCTTTTCTTGGCCTGGTTACCATCTAAGATAAGAGAATTTAGTCTACTCTATTTAAACCCATAGCTGGAGGGTAGGGGAGAATAGATGGATCTATGACTTTCCATGGGGAATTTGTGCAAAAGTGAATGCAACAGACTAGCCTGGAACTTGGATTCTGCTCTCCAGTTTCTGTGCCAATCTTATATATATATATATATATATATAATATATTATATATATATATATATATATTTTATATATATATATATATATATATATATATATATATATATATATATATATATATATATATATATATATATATATATATATATATATATATATATATATATATATATATATATATATATATATATATATATATATATAATATATATATATATATATATATATATATATATATATATATATATATACAATACATTATATATATATATATATATATATTACACATACATTGGAGATCATCAAGCTTTTAAATGTTCAGTCTCATCTATATCTGTTGGTTTCAGCTTCTTCAGGTCAGAATTCTGACCTGAAGATATCGAGACCAACGGTGAAACACCTCATTTACAGGTTTTTCTACTTTCTCAACATCTCATTTTGTTTGGGATATTATTACACACACACAATCATCATCAAATGACCCCAACAAATCTAAACTAGCAGTGACAAATATAGTGTACCAATTTCAATGCAAGACTGTCAAAAATCAATAACCTATAATGGACACACCGCTACCTTCTGAAGTAGACATCTTACATGCCATTTTTCAAAGCAGAGTGCAATTAACATTTATTAACTCATAATTTACAAGAACCTTGAGGAAAAATTCTAGTTGATAACACACAGATTCTTTTCAGGTCACATAGTTCTACACAACTCATCATTAGGGAAGCATTGTTTATTAAATACCATTCTACAGCTATTAATCTTACACTATTTAGCAGTGGAGATAGCATGTTAAAGGTTTTCTAAAAATAGAAGTGATGCCAAGGTCAACCAGCCATGCATATCATATGACTCCCAAAAAGCATACACTCCCTCCTGCATTTACTTCACATGGCCCAGTGGATAAAAGCATTGGTTGGATCCACTGACCGGACCCAAAGAGTTGTGAGTTCAATACCTGGCTACGGCTGTGGTGAACAAAAAACTTAGGTAGTTAAAGGGGGATTACTGAGACATCCGGAAGTGGCATGGCATGTGGAACCAGAACAATCTACCCTCATGGACGAAATAAAGGGTTCAGTCTGAAATTCTAATCACCTGAAGAAGACTGGAGCATGCAACAGCCAAAGCATCATGAATATGGCAATAAAGATGAGGACAACAGTTTGAACAATGTAAATAATTAAAATACCTCATCTCACACACACACACACACACACACATATATATATATATATATATATATATATATATATATATATATATATATATCTGCTTAAAAGCCACCCTATTCTATTGGGTGGCATTTAAGGTAGCTTTTGCTCTTCATGCATTGAGTATGTATTAAATCTTATTGAACAACATTTTTCAAACAACGGTTTTCATCAAAACAATGATATAATTGTTTATTTGGAACTTATTGCAAAGCTGCATGATAAACATTTTTGGGTTTTCCCTTTCGGGGTCAGTACAAATCGCTTCCATTCCCAACCCTTGAACAATCAACATTGAACTGGCCATGAGAAAAAATCAGGGTTCCATCAAATGAAGTCCAGTTACTTTCAATAATTGTCCTCGGGACTTATTGATTGACATTGCATAGCTCACCCTCACTTGAAACTCGTGTCTTTTGAACTCAAAAGGAAGATCTGGAGGAATTAAGGGGATTCTTGGAATTAAATCTATTTCCTCGTTTCCTGAATCAGTAAGGATCTCTGCCTCCAAGAGATAAGGAAGCATCTTCTTGACAATTAACCTTGTTCCATTACAAAGCTTTGGAGGATACAGATTTCTCAATAGCATAATTGGCACATTTTCTTTTAGTTCCTGCTTGTGTTATGGCATTCCGGGAGGATTCAATGAGTTCAGGAACTCTATTGGATAATTCACTGCCTGCTCTTGTTCATACTTCCCCTTGTTCTGGAGAGGTCTTGGTTGACAGAGTTGACTCCACATTAATAATGTTGCCTTCTTTCTTATCTGCTGATTGCCAGTTATTTTGTTCAGAATTAAAGAGAAATCAACAAAAGGGATTTTAATTTATCTAGTTTATTCACCATGTTGACATGTACATTTTCTAACTAGTCAGTCAGGTTGTTATGCCACCTCACTGGAAAGCAGTTTCCAGGCATGATTTTAACATGACTACATTGTTTGATGTGTAAAACTCGACTCATTGAAATCCCTTTCTATATCTTGCATTCCCACACTAGTTTTAGCCAATCAAAAAGAGGTTCCTTTGTTTTTCTGTATCTGAACCTCAATGAGGATGTCAGAGGAGAAATACAATTCTCTAAAAAAAAATAATAGTCTGCTAGACTATTATTTAACACACTGTCAATGGAAAAGTACTTCATGCTTTCTTTTTGGAATTTCTTGGAGAAGTTTCCAGTTGATTCTATCTGCAGTTTGATTCTTGGGAGCTAATATGGTGATCTCACAAAGCCAATTTGAATCCATAAAATGGTGTTTGGATAAACGGGGTTAATCAAGTCTTGGATACTTTAGACTGAAACTCTACAACCATTTGGGAATGAAATATCTCCATTTTGATGGTTCCATTGTCAAGCTGCAGCAGCAAATCTTCCTGCCTCAAGGTCAACTGTGATTCTCTCATTTTTGTTTTCAGGCCGAGTCTTTGAACATAGCTCCAGATGTAAGATTTTTTCAGAGTCGTGTTCCTTTAATTGAAAAAAATGTGAAACAGACATTTTCATATTTATATAGATATATACAAGACATGAAAATTTTTTCTTTATCAATGCAAAGTTCCTCACAAATTGGTAAAGAAAAGTTTTCCTTTTGTCTTATGTGTCATACGAAAATAGCCTTTTTCATGCATGCTGTGTTCATGATCTTGTTAGGTTTCCAGTTTTTCAAGTTAGTTTTCCCCCTCTTGTACTCTTTTTCGTTTCTGTTTTGTCAACATCATGGAACACACTTCTTCCAGTGTCATAAGACACCAGGATTGTTAATGCAAGGGAGATAACTCTGTTATAGAAATGAGACATTATTATGGACACAACAAAAATATTCTTACACGTTGGTTAATTTATTTTATTTCAGATGGTGCTTGTTGCCAACCAACACAGCCAAAGAATTGGTTAAAGTCCAGCAAACTGAGGGGGGCAAACAGCGGGATGAGGCCATCACCTGGTTTCGTTATGTGTACCCTCGAACTCAGTTGTCCAGTTGGCCAAAAGACTGTAAACCTGTGAGTCACATTGTTTAATTTAAAACCTATTTGTATCAAGTTGTTGGTTTTAAAGTTTTTCATAATCCTTTCCTAGTTACCTCTTTGAATTTATCGAGTAGTGGTTTTCACTTTAATACATCCCATCAGCCTTCAAAAGAATTAAAAAAAAAAAAAAATATTTACTTTTGAATAGGTAAATTGTCCTAATCTTTTAAGCATCATGATTATCAATGAAAATTGAAATTGGTCCTAACTTGTATAAACAATGCAGCTTAGGTGATTACTAAGACAGGCACTTTAGATCCTGTTATGTTAATAAAAGATTTGAGGTCACTATTCATTATTTCATTGAAAGTGCCAAATTCAATTACCTTGAGAATAAAATATTATCACATTTATGACTGTAAGTCAGATTTGCTAATTTAGACTCTGCATTATGCTTTATTTATTTAAAAGTTTAGAACAAATACTAAATATACAAAATGGCACTGACTTTTGAACATGGTGGAGATATTCAAGGTTCGGTGATGGCAATGAAGACCTGCTTTACTCAGTGAGCATTACTATTATCAGCTTAATGTCTTCTTTTTTTTTTTTTTTTTTTTTCTTTTTTCAAACCTAGAAGACATTTCATATTTTAGTAGACAGCTACATATATATGAGTCCAGAACTGTTCAATGTCTTTAGAGTTAGGTGTTCAACAAACATTCATCTCGGTACATCTAACTTTCTTTTCTTTTCTCTTTTTTTTTTTTTTAGCTATCTATAATAATAATAATAATGGTGGTGGTGATATTAGGGTAAATATTACAGGACAATGGTATTAAGATTAGTACAGGTATCTACAGCATCAGGGTAGATATTAGCCTACCAGATACCCCAACTTTGCAGGACCTTTGGCGGGCAGAATACTTTATACAGAAAAAAAAATGAATGTTATATCATCATATATACAGGATATATTTGTTGATTTTGTTCTAACTATATTTTGTATATCAATAGAGCTGTCATCAAAGTGCCTACTATGGGATTGGGGTTAGCAAAATATTGCCACGGAATATTTTGTTGAATTTAATCTTTATGGGTGCCCCACTAATGTGGCCTTGTGCCAGAAGTAAACTGCAAGTGTTAAAGAAGGATTCTAGACAGTCAATGGTGTTACATTGATGACTGACAGCAGATTTGTTTCTTAATTTTCTTTTTTGTTCATTAAGGATTATTTTTGTTTCTTCTTCAGCTGGAGATCCTACAGAAACCGGGTGAAACAGTTTTTGTTCCGTCTGGCTGGTGGCATGTTGTACTTAACCTAGATAATACTGTTGCTATAACTCAAAACTTTTGTAGTCGCGGCAATTTTCATGTTGTTTGGCACAAAACTCTTCGAGGCAGACCAAAATTGTCCAAAAAATGGTACAAAGTTCTAAAAGTGAGTCTTTTTTGTTTTTTTTTATTATTATTTATCTGAATTGCATTCTTTGTGTATAACTTTGCATTTGTGAATTTTATCGTTTGATGCTGGTAAAATTTGTTTATCAAGTGATAGCAAAAAAAAAAAAAAATGGAGTCATTGCTTGTATAATGACTGCATAAAAAAAAAAATGGATGGCAAACTGAAGAGTTGCTGTTGAAGTGGCATCAGGCCCAGGTTGCAGTGTAAAGCTTTCTCCTCATTAGGTTAGAAATAATAAAGACACAAATAATAAAAGAAAAAAAACATGGTGAGGTGGCTGGCTATGAAGTAGTGTATTGGCATAGAAAGGAGCAGGGTTCAAATTCCAACCGGGTCTATTGCATTCACTTTCGCATACACAAATCTATCTCTTTTCTTTATCCAGGTTAAATAGCTAGTTAGAATGGGCCCTTTCACCTTAAGTGGAGACCAGTCTAAGAGAAGAAATACTCGAAGTTCCAAACTATGAGGATGGTAACAGGAAACCACTCTGCTATTCTTCTTATAAAGTTATGGCAGTTCACGGGATAATAAAGAAAAGGAATCTATGGAGAGTCATGATCACTTATGTTCTGGAGGGATATGGCATATTAAGTTGTAATATTGATACCTATCAGTGCAATCTAACTCTTTCCCCACCCACCTTGTTATTTTAGATAGAATCTTGGATAACTAACTTTTTACTTTCATGGTAGCTTCTATGCATGATTAATGATAATTGTCTCTCTAGTGATCAACATTGTTGGAAAAATAAAATTGCAACAACAATCAGAAAAGAATGTTAATTTAATCCTTTAGCATTGAACATGCTGAAACCCAGCCCTTAAATATCAGCTCTCAAAGTTTCTCTCCTTGTGTGACTTCATGCATTATTTGCAATGATGTCATCATATCTTCTGGCAGAGTGTACATAATGCAGGTTGGGCATTGAGAGCCTATATTTACAGGGTTGGTTTGGGTGTGTTGAGTTAAAGAGTTCAAAACTGTCTCTCAAATCCTATTAAGATGTTTCTTAACCCATGTTGCATGCTCCTCTTAGTCCATTCTTGCTTTTTTCTCTCAAATCCATCTTAGGTATGACAATAAACTACATCTGGCAGCAAAACCTCTGATTGGGAGATTGGAGGTTTTTAGAATCCTGGAACCACTTTTTAATTGCTGTTGTCCTCGTGTTCACTCTGACCTGGGATGGTAGCACCTGTTAGAGTCCCAGCTATGGGTAAATAAATGGTGAACTCCAAACTAGGGTCAAAATATGAAAGTATAAAAATATATTCTTATAGTAAAAATTCTAGATTTTAATAAAAAAAATTTCAGCAATAAATTTTAATAGTAAAATGAAAAAAAAAAAAAATTACCAAAGCTTAAGGAGTTGATATGCTATTAAACAAACCAATCTCTCTTAAATATAAGTTTAAAAAAATAGGTATTTTGAAGTTTCTCATTAATTCCTGGAAGACAATATTTTTCTCTCTATTCTGCTTTTTATCTTTGCAAAGCATTTTTTACTTTTATGTTAATTTTTCTTAATATTAAATATACTTTAATGTTTTACCAGGCCTTACGTCCAGACATAGCAGCCATAGCAGATACTGTTGATCCACAACAACCCTCAGGATTTAATTCTGACAGTTCTAGTTCGGCTTCTTCAAGTTCAAGTGACTCCAATGACAGTGATTCGAGCAGCTCGGGGTCACCACCTGTTGTTAGGAAAAAGTAAGTTCACCTGCAATAAATGTCTCTGGGATTGGTTTCATTGAATGTTGCTTGTACAGAAAATGTTGTCATTTTGAATTTAGTTGAGTAATGAGAGAATGAAATTAGACTGAGGCAAAAAGATGAATCCTCAGCCTAAGGATTCTCAAAGTTTCAATTTTCTTAATCATTTTAAGAGAATCTGGACATTTTGTGATATTTTCAGTGGCTTTCTTTCAATGCTCAATACACTCTAAAACCTGTTTTGACTGAGTGTACAGTTCTTACTCCTCTAGGAAAACATACTTCAATTTAAATTTTATGAAATATAAGACTCTTGGGGTTGATAAGCCATAAAACAACTAACCAAATTCTCTCTACTTGTAAGCACATTTCACCAAATATTAAGTTTGAATTGTTTCACCTTTTATTGTTGTGCAGAAATAAAGAATTCAGTATTCATAAAAGAAATTGCTGGTAAAAGAATTAGGGTCTGAATATAAGCATGTATATCGTGATGTGCCTCTTGTACAATATTCTTGTACGACTGTAACGCTCTTTGCTGCAAATATACACAAGGATGGTAGCTGTCTACTCACCTTAAGTTGGCATAAGGCAATGAGTTGTGGGGAGGTACCCAGTGTGGATTGAACTCCCTACTCTATAGTGATTAGCCAGGTTCACTTGCTAACAAATAAATCCATTGGCAGTGTAGCCATTAAAGATGACTGAGAATGAGATGCAATTCTAAACACTCAAAAGAATTACCACCTACCACCATTTTGGCTTCCTTTTCTAATTAATCAGTTCTTTTCATTAAGTATGCATTCAGTCAGTTATGTACCATGAACAATACACGCTTAGGCGATCATGTATCTTTCGATACATGACTGACAAGGCAGTTTTTGTTTTTTTGCTGCAGTAGGTTAGTATACATTCACTTATGCACAAATACTCTTGGAGAAAGTATAAATCCATCTCCTCCCCCAGCAATGGCTAGTAGGCCTTGTATCTGGAAAAATTCTCAAAAAAATTGTTCACTTTAAAATAAAAAAAAAATTCTTACAATTCAAAAGATGTTTTGGCTTTAAATAACCTGCAAAGGGTTGATAAAGCATAAATCAATAAAGCAACCCCGTAGTAAAAATGACTCTGTAAGCAAAAAAATTAAAGTGTCAGTATTTTTATACTGGTTTTTTGGTATATAATTGATCAAAAATTTAAATTCACCATTTGAGGAATTAAAATGTTTTCAAAATGGCAAATGGAACCTGAAATTAGCAGTTGCAAAATGCAAGTTTGGCTTTGTGAACAGTTTGCATCACTTATAGCAGGTGTTGCCAGGTGAAGTAGGTTGCATTTGAAAGTGCAGTGCTACTAAATTAAGAATTGACTTGTTAGTAGCACAAGCTAGTCCAGCTTGTTTCAAAAAGTAGAAGAAAAAAAAAATCATGCAACTTTGACAATGCAAGAATCTCTTCTGTTTGGTGTTGTGTTTTTTTTTTTTTTTTTTTTCCCTCCATTGATGACAATGGAATTCTGATTAAATGAGACAATCTCTTTCACTCTCATGTTTGATGTAACAAAAAGTTAAGAAATAAACAGTGTGATCAGAACTTATGTTGAAAAGGATGAACAGTTTTTTTTTTTTTTCAACATGAACCAGATATTTTCACAGGTATTTGTTTAACATCCCTCCACACCTGACACACTTAAATACAAAATTCATATAAAATTGTTTGATATTAAAAAGCTGATCAAATAAGATTTTTCCACCTTTAATAATTCATGTACTTTGTTTTCACTTTATATTTTTATTGAAACATTGCATAATTTTTTTAGAAAAAGTTGTAAAAATTATACCTCATTTAGTATTTTATGGAAAGTGTGTTTTTGCCAAGCGCTATTTCTTTTGACCTGCACTCTTGCTTGCTTGTTGTAAATTCTGAATGAATATTTCATACACTTTTTAATTTTGTGTTCATTAACTTCAAATAAAAAGGTTAATTTTCAGATATGATCACAATAATTCAATTTTGAAAGTTCTTCCTGATATTTTCTTTCTTTCTTGCTTCCAGGCGCCGTACCAGTTGCAGGAGCCGTTCCACTTCTCGTTCCCCATCAAAGAAGCCCCAGACTGATTCCTCAGCATCCCACTCCACCACAAATACCATCCATAGGACACATTCCTCTGATTCAAATTCCAAACACTCCAGATGATATCCCCACCCTCTGACTTGACAACAGGGCAAAGGCACAAGGAGCAAAAAAGAGAAAAAGCAAGCAAAAAAAAATTAATCAAAACCCCAAAAAAAGATGTTAGGATTGGGGAGGGTTAGTAAGGCAAATAAAAAAAAAAAATAAAATATTGCCCTTATGCAGTATTGGTCCCTTTTTTTTTCTTCTTCTATACACAGCTAGATTGAACCAGTTTTCATTCCTTCATTGGAGTTGGAAAGTAATACTTATAGGTTAGGGTGGGGGTATTTTCTTCTTTCTGGGGTTTTTTGTTTGTTACTTTGAAACAGCTCACCCCCCCCCTCCAAGAAAAAAAGAAGCTTATTTGCTAATCTGGTCACTCTTCAAATGCCATGCTGCAATATGTTCTCTTCCTATTTTCCAAGGAGTATTTTAATTTTGAAGACATAGTTTCATAAATTTAATGTGAGGAGAGTTAGAAAAACCAGGTAAAGGATCACACAAATAAGAACTCAGCCTACCCTGCCAATAGAAAATTAAGGAATTTTCTAAATATAACAATTAGGGAATTTATTTGCATTTGATGTACATCCACAAAGTGATATCAAATGTTCTAAGCATTATAAATGACTGTTTCAGGATCTACGTTAAATCTTCAATCACTAAAATATTTCTCTTTCTTCTCCACTTTAAGAACTTTAGCAAAAAAAATATATTTTTGCAAAAGAAACTAAAAATCTATTTGTCTTATTCATGATTAAAAAGGCATCAGAAGGCAATAAAAAAAAAAAAAAAAAGAAAGAAAAGTGCTATCTTCTGATCAATGACTCACTCTCTCACAAAGGAGAAAAAAAAATGTCTGGCCTTGTATTTTTACAATTTCCCCCAAAGATGATCCCCCAGTTGATGTCATCTCTTTTCACAAAACAAGCTGACATAGCCGCAGTATTAACTGACTGATCAATTTTAGTTTTTGCTTTGATAAAATTAGTTTTGTTTTTTAATTTATGCTTTACCCTTTTTTTATAAAAAAATAAAATAAAATAAAAAAAATAAATTTTTTTAAAAATCACTTTGTATTCGAGTTTTTTTTGTATTTTTCTTCTAAAATTTTTCCTATCAGTCTCACTACTCACCCACCAAACTCTGTCTTCTCAGTTGCTAGGTTCATTGTGTAATGCCAACCTTACAAGTCATCTGGCTAGCTTTTCTTTCTTCAGTTCAGGCTGGTGTGTTGTCTCAATAGGGTTGATTCAGGTTTCCCAACATTTTACAATATTGAGATTGACCCACCCATGTATGTTGTGTACTACAGACAAAATTACTTCATTCCTGGCTATTGTAACTTTTGTCTCAAGATGACTTTAGGAATCAAGACTGGAATAAGAACTTCAAATAAAATGTACAATTGTTAACTCTAACAGATTTATTGAATATTAAGAAAAACTGGTTGAATAAAAATGTCTTATCTAATGAAAAATCAAGTTCTCTACAGGTTCTGGAAAATTGAAAAGTCTTGGAATTTTCTAAATTGGGCTACCTACACATCCCTCTTCTCAATTCATGAAAATCAAAATGCCAAATCCCAAAAATCTGGCTTTTTTAGAAGCTAACATTGTCTTTTCAGAAAAATGTATTAGTCATCAGTAATATTTGACAATTATTGTCAACGGTGGTTTGTTTTAAAATAAGTTCATGACCTCTTTTCTTGTCTAGGTGATGAGAAAGAGGGAAAAAAAGGCATGTCTCCTCAAAAAGAAAAGAGGAAAAACAGATTAATTCACTCTCATTGAATTTGTAGTTAAAAGGAAAATATTTTATATTAATAAAATACATTTTAGTAGAATCTTGAAAAATTTGAACAATTGAAATTTTATTCATCTCAATATGTAAACAGGAAGGATGATAGAATAGAAAATCTGCCTTCAATGTAGATAATTCCATCAATTTTCAATACCTTGGTTTAAAATGAACAGCTTTCTTGATTTCATTTTAGCATTGAATTGAAAGCTAATGGATTAAATTTACTATTTCCAGTAAGCAAAATAGTCTACTGTATTAAAACGAATTATATTGGAATTGATCCCCCCCCCCCCACATACACACACCCATCACAATGTAATCCTCTAATAAAGAAATCTTCCAAAAATAAAATATACTTTTTGGGAACTTTAATTGAATATTAGCTTGTTTAAAGTATATTTAATCTGATTGGAAAATCATGCATTCAAGTGTGTTGCATGTGATTTTTGTGTACACCTTTAGCATACCCCAGAAAAAGAAGTCAATTGTTCTTTCAACAAAATCATGTTTAATCTGTGGAAGTTAAAAAAAAAAAAAAAAAATTTCTGGTGTCCACATTTTTGGATCATCCTATAGTACCTGTGCACTCTGCTTCAATGAATCAAGTTAACTTTTGTTTAGTGATTGCTGGCCTCCAAGTCAGACCCTCAAATTGGCAGTGTTTGTGTTAATTTCATATCTTTAGTATGACAGATTTAAGGTTAGTCATTTGAAAAAGTTTGTTGTTGGAAAGTGAATGGTCTACGTGTTGATTGTTGCAAGTCATTCTTTGCACACCAACTTCAAGTGCCTTTTTCGGACTTGTTACTAGTGATAGGAAATAGATCCTTTATCATAATGTTAAGTGTCATCGAGGAAATGGACCTGTTCAGCAGTTAGACAATAATCAATCAATATTGATCTCTATACCAACAACTTCATAGTTTGAAAGTAGGTTTGGACAGAAAACTTCCTTAGAAATAGAATAATACACCATCGTGATAATGTCCATCCTCACACTGCACAATTAAAGATCAAAGAACTCGATTGGAAAAAAGAATTCTGACCTTGCTCCTGATTGCTAAACCCTTGACAATCTGCAAAACCATTTGGATGGCCTGAAGTTGACATCAAGACAAGAGTTACAGCATGAGAACTCCCCTATTTGTAGTGGCTGTAAACTTTATAGAATGAGATTCTAGGAAGCAACAGGAGTTTGAGTGATGATTAAAAGCATCAGGACCTTCATCTGTAATATATGCAATAAGACAGGACCTTTGTTCTCACCTGATATAAGAAATGTCCAAAAACTACACTACAAACATCTGTTAATCCAACATGCTTATTACTAAAATATATATATATATAACTTTTTATCAACACTGATGTTACTTTTCTACATTTTTCATCACAATTGATATCTCTGATGCATGGGTGAATGTGATATTAGGAGAGTGGAGTCAGTGTTGCATATCTGAGGGACCTAAATAGATGCTCTTCCTGATATCTCTTTCAGATTATGTGATGAATATAGCAAAATGTTCAAACTCTCTCCTTTAATGAATAAGTTCCCAGTTTTCCCCACAGTATCTTATGATGTCTGATCATGAAATCCACAAGTAGCACATCTTTTACACCACCAGAAGTCACCATCAATTCCTTTGCTGATTGAACATTGCATATGATGTGCCAGAATGAATGAATGAATAAATCTAAAAAAAAATTCCATCATTCATTCAATTGTCTCAGGAGCTCAAATTTAGATTCCCCCACCATAGGGAAAACTAAATTCTTAGACATGTAGCAGCATATAACAGCAATGGCAGGTAGCAGCACCTGAACTCAATGTCATCAAAATACTCAGACCTGTACAAGCTAGAGATTTACCTGGACAAATTGAGTCAGGTTGTGACATGAGGTAAGTTTTAACATGGGGACACTAGTGTTTCCACTCTGGCCACTGGTCCAAGATTGTCTAAGCTAGTAATAGGCAGTCATACCACAGCTACATAACAGATGTCAACGTACATGTACTAACTAAAAATAATGTTTATAGCAATAACGTCAGATTTAAAACAATACCCCAACAATTGATAATGTCATTATGTCTGAATCCCTCATAATTGGTTTTGTAAGCATCTATAAGACCTGGTATTTGCACATGTCCTGCACCAACTATTAGGAAGTTGTGGACAGCCATCAAGGATCAACATTACCTCATGGGCTCATCTAAACATTTGTAGAATGAGAACCAAAGTTGTACTTTGCCAGGTTATCCAACATTAGATGCTTATTCCTTGACTTTTGGCATGTCAGTGTATCCTAACACTCATCTTTGCTGTCACATGCATGCACCGAAGGCAGTGACACTTAGCCTCCCTCTTGCCTACAGTTTTGACAGGCTTTTTATTACAGTTCATTTACACTTGTTTGTACCTTAATTTCTCCAACTACATCCCTGGAAACAGTTATTGCTAATTTGATCTTTTGGCTATCATATTCATACAGTAAATTCAATTGATGACAAGGATTTTGAGAAATGTTTCACTAAAAATCAGTATATAGCCAACCTAGAACATCTAACTGCTGTTCTAATGTCCAAAAAAAAAAAAAAAAAAAAAAAAAAAAAAAAAAAAAACTGAATGAAAAAAAAAAAAAAAAAAAAAAAAAAAACACTCCTTATTTCGGCAGTCAATGTCAAAACTTTAGACATCAAAAAGGTGATCACAAAATACATTTAGAATATATTGGCAGACACTAACTCTTTCTCTCCATTATTTGAAATGCCTTTTCAATTCATGGTTTTGATTATTGCTGCTTCCTACATGTTGCTAGTCTTCTTTATTATATCTTCTCACCCCCCGGTTGTTTTGCCTATTTTGACATAATGGCTGCACGGTTCATAAATAAATATTTATCATGTGCTGCAAGGACTTTTACAACATTTTTTTCCTTTTACATAATATGAAAAAATAAAAAACAAGAAATGATGATCGGCTCAAAAAAATGTATTTGCAGACAAAAACAATGAATGAGTTTATCGCTTTCTACGCAGAGAAAGGATTTGCCTGCGTTTCCAGGAGGCATGACGTGAACCACCAATGGTCTTGTGGTAGCCATGACCTTTGCCCAAGCCACGAGAGCTACGGCCAGCAGCAGTCAAACCTCTCATCTCTCTGTGTTTGTGCACAGGATTGCAAATCCAGTTGATCTTGGGATCACGGCGAATGGCTTTGTGGAAAGGGTCAACCAGAATGACTTCAAAAAACTTGAAAGTAGAGTCTTCAGCAACCCAGTAGGAATTGAGCACTCTCAAGGATTTGCAGCGACGACCAACTTTGTCCTAGAATTACAAGAAAAGAAAAAAAGATAGTCATTCAAAAAGAGTAAAGTTTATAAAGAAGAAAAAAAAAGTTTTGATAGAATAAAACTATTATGGTGCCATACCCTGCCCCAACATTAAGTCATATTTGGTTATGAAATACTAAAAATAGAAAAACTTAATTATTCCAGGCAATTTCACCGATTACCAAGTAAAGATTAAACTCATGAATTATGAAAATTTTGTTCCAATTATTTACAATAATGTTTGTTCTCTTTAGACCAGCCTTTCCAATATTGTGGGTGGAAGACGGGTGGAGAAAAACAAATTTTATTTTGTATAGTGACATCAACCTGAACTATACAGAGTCAAGGTCATAGTCAGTCACTATACTGTGTTGTTTTGCAGTACTTTTAAGACAAAATGCTAACTCAAAAAATAATGATCAAAAATCTTGGGGGGGGGTACACTATATTTTCCATTACATTGTATATCTAGTATATGAATTGCTACATTTAATCCTTCTGCCATCACCAAAAGTTGATACTGAATTTAACAAAAAATACTTTTAGCCTTTGTAAAATTACATTTAACTTTTGAAGAGATTATTTTCAGAACAGTCTTAATAACACTGTCCTATAAGAGTGGTTGCATTTAGGGTATGAAAAGTTTATGCAAGTGTAAAAATTATGGGACAATCATTTAGAAATCAGCAGGATATGTCTGACTTGTTTCAATTGATGATATCAAAATGTAATGGAAAATGCTTTGGTTAATTTCTTTAAGAATGATACAGTCCAAGTAATATACTAAATAGGGAGAAGAGGATGCAGTAGAAATTAAAAACATCACAAAATAGGAATACCTTTTAATCCGCATTTATGAATTCTTTGTCTAGGTTTTCCAAAAATTAAAAACATGTAGATATTACATTTGAAATGATAAAGTCAAAATGTTTGTTTTCTTTAGACCAGCCTTTCCAATATTTGGGGTGGAAGACGGGTGGAGAAAAACAAGTTTTTATTTTGTACAGCAATATCAGCCTAAACTATGAGGATGTATAGACCAAAATCAATCACCATACTGACCTCCACAACATTTATGGTAACAGTCCAGGAAAAAAAAAAAAATGGGGGGTACATATCAGATTTTCAAAATGTGTGTGTAAAATCAAATTATTTAATTTTAAATCTCACATCTTATTTTTCCTAATTTCAGTTTAAAAGGGGATTTGTAAGCTAGCACAACAGAATATAAAATTACTTGTTAAGCCTTATCGTAAAATACATGTGTTTGATGGATTTTTTTTAGCAGAGTCATACCCCTCTCCACAGTGCCCCAGCCAATACATAATCTTTATCAAATTTTTCCATTTTTTTGTCAATCGTTTCAATTATTAACCAACTCATGGTAGAAAAACCTTCAGGCTCTACGTAAAAACACGCTTTGTAAATTTCAGTGTAAACATTTACAATAAGTTATTTGGTGACATGATATTTTATAAAAGTCAAACATTATTGTTAAAAAAAAAAAAAAAAAAAAAAAAAATCCTTTCACTTCATAAAACCTGAACATTTGCTGTCCTTGCCTAAAAAGTAACAAATAAACCTGGCTTCTAAAGTCAAATTAGGCAGTATTTCTGTCAGCATGTACAACATGTCAAAATATTTTTCAACCATGGGAGAAAAAAAAAAAAAGAAAAGCAATGGCATTTGTACCCATTATTCCAAAAGTGATTTTTACAAACAGCAAAATATTTTTTTTGCAGATATAGTTTCACATGGTCTCAGTTAGGATTACTTTAGTTTATCATAAAAATATATCCAGTACATGTGACCATCTCAAGAAAGGTTTTAAAAATCTAAATTGCATTCTTATAATTCCTTGCACAAAAAACACACACACACAAAGCTGAAATTTATGGAGGTTAGTATATATCCTTCCTTTTACTGTAAAGTGGGTTTTGCTAAACAGATCCATTGATTTTTAGACACCTTTCAAAATAAAATAAATCAATGATATTTATATCAAATTTGTCTATCCAACTCTCAAATCCTGATAACACACAATAAATCAAACTTAAAAATAGGTTTGGAGGGTGGAGGGAAAAAAAAAAAACAAAAACAAAACAACAAACTTATAATTTAACATTCATCAGGTAATCCTTACCTCGGCCACAGCTCTCAAAGATCTGGCAAACTTGAGTTGGTTAACACCATGAGTCTTGGGTTTACCATAAGTGGCACCCTTGGGAACAGGTCTCTTGCGACCACCACGACGAATACGAATTCTGTACACAATATAACCTGCAAAGGGAAAGAATATTTGCATAAAGCTATTTAAATGAATTACCATTGAGAATTGCAACAATATTTTTAAGGTTTGACGTTTTTTATACTGCATTTTCTAGTGTAAAGTAACTAGAAATCTTAAAAGAATCTTGAATTTCCAAACGCTTTAAAACTCAAAGGGAGTTCAGATGAAGAGGTTGTTGCAAAAACAAAATTATGGTAGATAATGATTAGTGCAGAGCTATTTCACTATTATAATAATAATAAAAAAAAAAAAAAAAAAAAAACCTACAAAATCCGGTCAAATAAATTCAATGAAATAAACATGAATCTAGTTTAGGGTCCGTCGGTTTTTCGCAGGAAAACAGATAGCTTAATGAAAAATGCCACAAACTTAACAAAAATAAAGTTTTATCGTCAAAATGCTTGTTAATAAGATGAAAGACCAAAATATTTTTTAATTATTTTTTTTGAATTTTTTAATCCATTCTAAAACATTCGAAATATTTTGCACAAAACCTTTCTATTTCCTGAATTTTTTTTTTTGTTAAAAGTAGGAGCCTTTGGAAATTGTAAATCTTTTTTTTTTTTTTTTTTTTTCCCCAAATTTGAGCCTACTGAAAATCAGCTCTGAATTGAAAAATAATGAATCCAATAAGACTATGACAATATTTAATTAGAAAAGCTTTTAATTGCTTTTGTAAATAAGTTATATTAAGGACATTATTGTCCTGAAGAAATAAAATTTTTCTGATTAATAATGAAGTTTTACAAGAATTTTTTCATTTTTTTTTAAATTTTAATTATAATAATTTATAATAGTTTAAAATCGTGTAAAATTCTGTATTGGATGTGATATTGTAATTAAGAGGAAACAAAATTTAAAAATCGAAAATTGAAAAGATTAAATCAACTTAATTGTGCTATTCTATTTTTAAAATAATTTTTTATTTTGTATTTTTTACTTAATATGTTCATTATTTTCATGTACGGTAGACTGAAATTGCCATTATGATCTAGAAGTTTTGTCCCTTTATTATGTCACTTCAGTTACCTTTCAACAGGTTTTCAAAATTTCTATCCAAGTTTAAAGCTTAAACTGAGTTTTACTTTTTTCAATTACTATTTTGCTAAATATTTTTATTTTATGCATTTACGTTAGTGTGGGACATACTTTAATTGAGTAATCATGGTATTTCATTTGTTATTAAATTATAAAATTAATTGAAAATTTTATAGTATTTTAAATTTTTTATTTTTGCATCTTCGAAAGGTTAATAAAAGTCAATAAAATATTAAATAATTGCAGAAAATATGTTCATTTGTAAAAATTATGAGGTAGTTAAAAACCAAAAATATGCGTTCACTTAGAATTTTGACAATTGGGGTCATCGATAGTAGCTGTCATCGCCTCGTCTATAAGCAATCCATGAAACATTGGATCAGATGACCAGGACCAAACGTTAATAATTGGTTGTATATTATTTTTTTATGTTATAAATAATATCTATTTTAAATCAGATTAATTTAACTTTAAATTGTCTAATTTTACTAAAATAACATGTCAGAAATATATATTTTTTGAATGAATTTTAAAATTGAAAAACTTGTTTTGTTTACAAATTTCTTAAAATTAAGAAAATGGCTGCTTTTAAGAAAATTTTAAGTCAAAATTAAATTTGACATTCCAATCTATATAATTTCTATCTGAAATACTCCAGAATATTTTACTTAAATGAATTATTAAACTTTCAATTAAAGAAAGATTTTTCATTTTTAAAATTTAATTTTAGACCTTAGGTATCAAAAATTTATGCCAAAAAAGTGGAGGTCCTTAATCTAGTGGAATTAGATGTTTATCCAACCTTTTAATATTTATATTAAAAGTTTTAAGAATCTCCAGAGAGAAAGACCTACCTTGCTTAGCTTTATATCCCAGACGCCTAGCTTTGTCTGGTCTTGATGGCCTGGGTGCACGGTGAAGCACATTCAACTGCCTGTACTGCCAGCAGCGAATGCGAAGAAGAAATCGCATAACATCACTCTGCTTTTTACGGTAGATTTCTTGCATAAATTTGTAACCACCCATTTTTGAAACTGCAAAGATTCAATTAGAAAGATTAGGAATCTACAAAGAATAATGGAATACGAAGATCCTATTCAAAAAAATGTTTCTTTTTCTTTTTAATTCCATCAACTTGGCACAAAAATAGGTTTAGTTTTTCATCTGTCAAAGATAATACCATGAAATTTTTTTTAAATAATCCAATTTATATTGTGAATTCTTTCCCTAGTTTTGCTTCCCAAAAAAATAAAGCATGAAGGTGGAAAGTTACATTTGCAATTTCACTAAAACTGGCATTGTTTAATTAATAATATAAATGGTAAAGTCAAAAAATGTTCGTTTTCTTTAGACCAGCCTTTCCAATATTTGGGGTGGAAGACGGGTGGAGAAAAACAAGTTTTTATTTTGTACAGTGATATCAGCCTAAACTATGAGAATGTATAGACCAAAATCAATCACCATACTGACCTTTTTTTATTTATATATATATATATATATATATATATATATATATATATATATATATATATATATATATATATAACAAGTAAGTTACCTCCCTGCATAGAGATAAAAAAATATTTTGAATTTACGGTGTTAACGCATAACACATCCATATGCAAGCCCCCGCTGAAGATGGCCTCAGATGAGATTGAAAGTACTTGGGAAAATAAAAATTATTTGAACGAATTTAGAAATTTTTCTTGATCGATTTTCTACAGTCACCACAAAATTCGTGAACTTTAAAATTAAATCTAAAATAGACAGACATAATACGTCTAAAATACAGTAATACGTATTTTTTAATATTTTTCTAACTTATCACGAAAGTAGGCTCTTTAGTTTTTCATCTGTAAGGACACTAGCTTGAAAATCTTTCAAATAAACTAGTATTTTAGTAGCACAAGCGGCCTGGAGGGGTAATATTTTCATCTATAAGAATTTTATGTGTATTTACTATTTAAGCGACAAATGTTATATATATATATATATATATATAAAATTTTAATGATCGAATGTTCTTGATTACAAATAATCCTTCTCAAGCAAGCAGGAAATTCCATAAGAAATTGCCCGAAGATCATTTTAGAAGAAACGTACAGGAAATAATTTTTTTTTTTTTTTCAACTTCATTCTAGTCAAAGCTTTGTTTACAAATTCAATACAAATAAGTTGAGCTTATGACAAAAAATAAGATTAAATAGTTCAATGTTCGAACTGCTTTTAATGTCATATTTTAGACGTCGAATATCAATATTTTTAACACTTTCGTTGTCCGAACGTTGAAATTCCGTATGGTTTAATCCAGGCTGACAATATCTTGATTTTTTTTTTTTATTCACCCGATGTTAACAGACAATTACAAAGACTAAAACAAGTTGTTTTAAATGTCACGATCTGTCTTTGGGTTAGGAAATTACGCCATTACTTCGTGTGCCGGTATGTTAAGTACACAAGTTTGAAAAACGGAATGATTTTCAATTCTCGTTCAAGTAGTCTATAGAAACTTTAATATCGTTTCAAAAATAAAAGATTTTGAAGTCTTATAATTTCCTAAATTGATTTTAGTTATGTTAATTAAAAGATTACCATTTATTAGCTAAAATGAAACAAAGCATTTGAACCTTAAGTTATGAAACGATACTTCTTGCACTACACGTGTTTTTGACGCCATTTTATACGAATTTTGATTTTTAAATACCGAACATTCATTTCTCTTTCGTAATAAAAGAGTTATTTTTCATAGTTACCTTAAAATATAAAATTAAGTAATAAAATGCCATTTCCTACTTTTAAATCTACCAGATTCCAAAGGCTGATGAAAGGTATAATGACCGGTTCATATACAAAATAGTTCATCAACAAACATATATATTTATTATTACTAGAAAAAAGAAACTTCAGGAAATAAAAACTAAATATATAAGAATACGGTGGCTGATTTGTTGGGGAAAATGAATCCTTCTAATCTAAATGTAATTTCTTAACATTTCGAATGGAGGAAGATAATGTAACAACGTGTCCGAGACAGAAAAATAATCGTGAAATAAACGTAAACTGTGCAAATCGTGACAAAAATACATGCATACTGTTGTAGAAATAACTTAGAAAGCATATTATTTACAAAAATTAAAGGATTACAGAATCAAGGTGAAGATTTTTACCAGATTTTTTTACAAAAGCTCAAATACATACCTTCCGTCCAATATGGACACTCAACGAGAAAGAACGAGATCTCACGAAACACAGAGAATCATGGGAAATACTTAAAAACATAAGTAACTAAATTTAAATTATTCCCCTTTAAAAATATATCCGCTTTCCTTTACATTAAAAGTGAATTTTAATGTTTAACAATTAAATTTAACAAACGATCGTATAAAGAGCATTTCAGAATTAGTATTAATTTTGTTAAGTAATTTATCTTTGCATGTATTGCAGAGAAAGATAAAAATTAATGAAATTAAATATTATTATTATATTATTTAGAATTTAAAGTCAATAAATCAAAAGTTTGCAAAATAATACTCTATAATAATTTAAATATCCGTTTTTCGCAAACTTTTTTTTTAACTTTAAAATATTCTAATAAGAAAAAAGCAACTAAAAAAAGATCTACTGAGAGAATTGAAAAAATTCACGAAAACTAACCTCAGAGTTACAGAAATCTAAACAAACGTGTACATCTGCAGGCATAAATGTTTACATTAGATTTAATTTCATGATTTTTTTTCAGAAAACACTGACCACCCGCATTTCCTAAAGTCTTATTCATGCATACATATATACAAACAATACAACGCACACACACATATAGACATGGCCTGAAGATTGCATTTAAACATGAAACAGTTGCCACTAGGTATTGACCTCAATATCCACTTTTATATTTACATATACACTATTCTTGATATTGAGCACTTTACCCCATATATATATATATATATACTTTACAATTGGAATTGTAAAATTTATCAAACTGTTTATGGTATCATTTTGTAGTGGGATACTCTAATACTTTAATTTTAAAATTAAAATTCGTAGGTAAAAATAGTCATTCACTAAAGGTATCTTAATTCCAATTGTAAAGAAAATTTTCTCTGTTTAATGAAAATGAACATTGGGTGCTCTTTTGTGAGTCAGTTTGAACATATTTCAAATTCTATGTTGTGTTAATAGGAATTGCCTGGATTATACCAATGGATTACAGCCTGTATATATATATATATATATATATATATATATATATATATTATAAATTAATTGATTTAAAATATGTTTTTTTTTTCGCTACACAGTTCTAACCATGTTTCAAAAATGGAAGCTGAAAGCTCCGAATTTAATTTTGTAATTAAAGACATTAGTTCCATTTCATCCTCTAGTGAATTTTCGTATTTATATTAGTGAATATACATAATATCCAACGTTTATAGTGTAGACTCGTCCTTTTTTCCTTACCTTTCAACCCTAGCAACAGAACAGTCTATATCTTACGGAAAACTTCAACCAATTAAAACTGCACTAAGCGAAACAAACAATCTCATTGGTTCATTACTGAAAGTTCACGTGCAGAACGAAATTGCGCCAAAACTCAAGTGAGCCACCTTCGGACTTTCAGACCTTATAAAAATAAACGCTGACCGCCCCAGGCAGTAAGTAACAAACATCCACAGAGAACTTGCCAAAATACTCCATGTCGCTCGAAATCACGATTTTACTGCGCAAAGATACATCATCGCTCATTCCCGATCGAAAACTGAATCAACTCTGTGGATATCAATTCTCAACATTGCTTATGAATCATATTCGCTACCTATTAAGTAAACATCAACGTACGAACGACCTTAAAAAACATTACATTACAGTTAAAGGTAGATCACTCTTAAAAACTCCTTCTAAAAGAGACACTTAATATCGACAATTATTAATATCAACACAAACTTTAAAAGACTGTAAATGAACGAACAATTACAAAGAGAGACATTCTGAAATCAAAAAACCTCATACACATTTCGCCAACATAACATATATCAATTATCCTGTTTGTATATTGCTTTGAATTGTATATAAATGTTGTATTTCTAATTGAATATGTCTCGTTCTTAATCGTATTTTAAATTTCGTTTATTTGTTGTGGATGCAGAAAGTGACGCAACCTACACAAATTCCTTCTGATTCTTTCAAGCATAATTAATAAATTCTGCACGTCCCCAACAATAGCATGACTCTGAATTTTATTGCAATTCTTGCAATCTTCAGAACATATTTGCAACTGAAGATTGCAAGAGATGCGTGAAACTCCGAGTCATGCTATCAACATTGGATATTATGTATATTCACTAATATATTCTTATAGCTCTGTTTCATAACATTGAGCACTCTATTTATAACACCTGAAGAAATATATCTATATGTACATGCAAGTATATGTACATGTATGTATATTTTTTATCCTACCCATTCTTTTTTATATATATATATATATATATATAGTATAAAAAATTAGGAGATCAGCCAATTCCACTACCTAGGTTTCAACCTTTCAGTATCTTCTGAGAGGTTGAAACCAAGTTAGCAGAATCAGCTGATCTAATTTTTTATACTTAAAAACTCTTCATGCTAAATTTTTATCTTTTATATGGATATTGAACACATTTTATGTTATATCTCGTGCAAGATATAATAAACAAAGTAAACCCGAGTGTTGGTTGTTAATAATTTTATAATCGGATGTAGGTATGTCAAAATACAGAGACAGTCAGGAGTATGCTAACCTCAATAGGTGTTAACAAACGAAGACCTCTTTTTTTTACTGTTCGCTGTGGTCGTACTTTATCGGTAACCAGTCCGTCCATTATCGTGAATGGCGAAGTTGGGTTATCTCATCACAACCCCCCCCCCCACCGAAGCTGAAATTCTCCCTTTTGAAAATTTCTGCTTCTAATGTCGTCTTTTTGGATCCGGACTAAAACGCTGCACTGGTTTTCTTTCCCGTGTGCTCCTTCTTTTAGTCGTCACAATTAGATCCTTTCTTGGCGAAGATAATTTCCGCTTTTCAGCCCGTAAGGCTGGTCCATGCGATACAGGTTCAAATACACTATTGGGTAGTGTCATGTTAAAAGCATCGCATAACACTTCCATCGGAATTTCTTCTTCGCTTTTTTCACATTCTTCACCATATCGTGGTCTAATCTGATTGATGTGTCTTTTACACGTAATTTTTTTTTACTTTTAATCGTGTAGACCACTTTACCAATCCTTTTCTGGATTATGCCATCCATCCAATAGCTTTTTCCACTTTTAAAATTTAAAAAAAAAAACTTTGTCTCCTGACGTATTTTTTTATGTTGACTTTTTCCTCTTTCTTAGCAACTTTTTTGTTTTGATAGGGTAACAATCTATCGAAAATTGATCTAATTTTCCTTGCGAACATAATTTCCGCCGGTGACATTTTCGCATCGTTGTTCTCATTAGGAGTTACCCTATAGATTGCTAAGAACTTCTGAATAGTTCTTTCTTCCGTGTCCATACCTTTATTTTTACGTAAAGCACGTTTAAAAGTGTTAACAAATTTATCGGCTTGACCGTTCGACCTGGGATGACACGCTGGTGTAGTTATGTGTTCAATGTCTAAGGCAGTACAGAAATCCTTAAATTCCATACTTGTGAACGCCGTACCATTGTCGCTAACCAATGTTCTGGGAACCCCGAAACGACTGAAAATTTCATCCAATGCACTGATGGTGTTCCTAGATGTAGGATGCTTGCACTTGAATACCTCAGGCCATTTCGATAAATAGTCCACCAATATCAAATAATAGTACCCATTAATTGGTCCAGCATAGTCTATATGTAGACGTGCCCATGGCAAATCCGTTTTCGGCCAAGGATTCATTTTGACCGGAGGTGCCCTTGCAGCCAATTGACAACCTCTACATAGTCTTACAAAATCTTCAATATCCTTGTCCATTCCTGGCCAGTATACGTAACCACGCATGAGTGATTTCATCCAAGACATTCCAGGATGACCGGTATGAAATTCTTTCAGCATATCTGTACGTAGAGATTGAGGTATAACAATTCTATCTGCGTACATCAACGTGTTGTCGCAAATTGAAAAAGGTGAAATCTGAGTTCCCTTTTTCTGTCTTTTTTTCCCTCTCGTCTGGTTCCTTAATTTCACAATATAGTAATCTTTTTCCGCTTCTTTTTTTATTTGGTCCAACGTTACCGGCAATTCCCTGATTGTATTCAACAAGAGACCTGATATTTCTTTTTCCTCAGTTAATGCTGCTATAATCGTCTCTTCTAACATTTCTTCATTTTTTGGAATCAGCCTTGACAATCCATCCGCATGCCCATGTTCTTTAGATTTGACGTATTCCATCCTAAAATGGTAATTAAGCAGGGTTACACCCCATCGCCGTAAGCGATTAGCTGTATGCGTAGGAATGCCTTTTTTACCTCCAAATATTGTAAGTAACGGTTTATGGTCCGTTTGAAGTACAAATGATCTACCATGTAAAAAACGATGGTATTTTTTAACCCCGAACACAATCGACAAAGCCTCTTTCTCGATCTGACTATAATTTTTTTCAGCCGGAAGAAGAGTTCTCGACGCGTGCGCGATCGGTTTAGTAGTGCCATCTTCATATTTGTGTAGCAGTGCAGCACCCACTCCGTACAAACTTGCGTCAGTTGCCAGAATGATCTCATCCTCGTCGCCAGCTGTTATATCTCGTGCAAGATATAATAAACAAAGTAAACCCGAGTGTTGGTTGTTAATAATAATTTTATAATCGGATGTAGGTATGTCAAAATACAGAGACAGAGTCAGGAGTATGCTAACCTCAATAGGTGTTAACAAACGAAGACCTTTTTTTTTTACTGTTCGCTGTGGTCGTACTTTATCGGTAACCAGTCTGTCCATTATCGTGAATGGGGAAGTTGGGTTATCTCATCACAACATTTTAATACTATGGTTTCCTGGTCTAATTCAACTCTGACCATTTAACTTTTTATTACATATAAATATATATATATATATATATATATATATATATATATATATATACATGGTGCTACTTTGAGCAATAAAAATGTATTTAGCTCTCAGTTGAAATGATGATCCCTATTCCTGTTATGACCTCCTAATCTAATTTTCCTTTCTACTGTTCCCTCTTTTTTATACTTATTCACCGTTCTCTTGATGGTTCTTGAATGGACTTTGAAGAT